CCTGGGGACTGAGCAGGGGTGAGTGAGCATAGGCCAGGGGGAGTACAGTGGGAGCACAGGCACAGGAAAACAGAACCATGTGGGTGTCTAGGGAGCTCCAAGTAGTTTGGTTTGGCCTCGGTGTGACAGGAGACGTAGCAGAGAGAAGAGACTAAAAATGTGAGGCAGGAGCCAAATCAGGCAGACATCCCTACACCAGGAAGAGGGACTGATGTTCACCCATGGGGTCTGAGTGACTGTTTTAATCAAGGAAACAGCATTCTCAGATGAGAGCTGACTAACAGCACTTGGGGAAATGGAATAGGCCATCCAGGAAGCTGCAGCAACAGTGTGAGCAAATGAGCTCTAAAAGTCACAGGAAAGAAACTCAACCGAGTACAATTCAGAGCCCAGAAATAAACTGTGAACATTTATGCTCAAGTGAGTTTTCAAAAAAGATGCCAAGATAACTCCAAGGGGGGAAAAATGGCATTTTTAACAAATGGTTAGGGTAACTGAATATCTATATACATAAAAATGAAGTTAGACCCCCTACTGCATACTAAATACAAAAATTAACTCAAAATAGATCATAGACCTAAATATAAGAGCTAAAACTATATAATCTTAGAATAAGCATAGGAATAAGTCTTTGTGATGGTTTCCTAAATAGGACACAAAATATGTAAGTGATAGAAGAAAACACAAATAAATTAATTTCATCAAGATTAAAAACTTTAATGCTTCAAAGGATACCAACAAGAAACTAAAAGGCAAATCTTTTACTTGATAAAGGACTAGCATCCAGAATATATAAAAATCACCAACAAAAATGGGCAAAGGATTTGAATGTTTCTACAAAGAAGATCAAAAAATGATCAATAAGCACATGAAAAGATTCTCCAAATCACTGTCATTACAGAAATGCAAACCAAAATGACAATGAGAAACCCCTTCACACCTACTAGGATGGCTAGATTATAGAACAATAATAACAAGTGTTGACTAGGATGGAGAGAGGTGGGACTCTCCTAACATTGTTGGTGGGAATGTTACCAGGTGCAGTAGCTTTGAACATGGGATTACCATAAGACCCAGCAATTCCCCTTATAGAGCTATATATCCAAAAAAGGTGAAAACAAATATTCACATAACAAGTTGGACATTGGGGCGAGTGTTATGGTGCAGCAATGCCAGCATCCCATAACAGTGCTGGCTTGAGTCCCTGCTGCTCCACTTCTGATCCAGCTGCCTACTAATATGCCTCAGAAGGCAGCAGAAGATAGCCCAAGTAGTTGGGCCCCTGCTACCCATTCGAGAGATCAGGATGGGGTTCCAAGTTCCTGGTTTCAACCTGGCCCAGCCCTGACCATTGCAGCCATTTGTGGAGTGAACCAGCAGATGCAAGATCCCTCTGTTTGTCCCTCCCTCTTTTTCTGTAATTCTTTCAAATAGTCTTTTTTTTTTATTTAAAAATAAGAATTAAAGGTTTATAAAATGTTTTAGTGGCTTTATACATAAAATCCCAAAGCAGAAACAATGAAAAAACTCCTCAGCTGATGAATGAATAAATAAAATGTGGGCAATTCATACAATGGAATATCATTCATTTACAAAAAGAAATACAATATAGATGCATGGTGCACATGGATGCATTTGAAAATATTACGCTAGGTTAAAAAAGCCAGATGCAAAAGGCTACTTGTATGATTCCATTTCTATGATGAATGTTCCAAACAGGCAGATCCCTGGAGACAGATTATCGATTGCCTTGGGCTGGTGGGGAAGGATGGCTAAGGGTTTCTTTTTAGGTAGAAGAAAGAGGAGGAGGAGGAGAATGAGATGAAGGAGACCCCAGGGCAGCACGGCTCTCCAAGCCATCACGAGAAGACACGGAAGATGCCAAAGAAAAGAAAGGGGCGAGTTTCCTCCTGTTCTGCGGACACTGATTTAACCCTGGTTCGGAATCAGGTCCAGTGCACTCAACTGGAAGATGAGGACGATGAGTGTCCCTGGAAGACTTAGAGGCTAAGGAAGACCCAGGAACCTGCACGCAACCCCAGAAAGCCTTCAGGAGGTGGGCTCCGTGTATTCCTTACTTCTTGTCCTGCAGACCAGGAAACACCCCTTAGAAAAATACTGGGTTACTTGCCAAACACTTTATACAAGAGGGGAATGGAACTCTGAGCTCCTCACTAAACTGCATGGTTTACAATAGTTTCATAACCAAACCACTAGCCTTGGCCCTATCCTTTGGACATTTGCAGAGACACACCCCGACATATTCGGTCACACGTATCTACCCTGCTGTAGACCACAGTCCACTGCCCATGAGGACAACAAACATTCGCAGTCATTTCCTGTGATTTCTCTCAACAGTCTGGCTTCTGGGAACACTCAGCTACCTGCCCAGCACTGCCAGGTGGCTTCTTTCATGCCTAGTTGAGAACAGACAAAGACTTCCAATTCACCTGGCCTCACTGATGAGAGGGTGTTGGGGAGGCCCTTTCTCAAAACCTCTGCAAGTATAGGGTAAAGGGAGGGTACTTCCAAAGTCATTTTCCCAGGAAACTCCAGGACGATAGGGATAAGGAAGCGTTTCAGGGTTGGCCAAGTCCACAGACATCAGTAACCTGGGGAGCGGGGAAGCCCTTCCCAAATCTGGAACCCACCAACAGAATCCCTGAGAATGCTGTTTCAAGTTTCAGTCCAGCTGCCAGAAAACAGGACAAAGCAAAGAGTAACATGAAACAAGTCTATCTGGTATTTACCTCTACGGTTCAACCTCCAATGGCTCTGCTCCCTGCCTTTGATTGTCTTGTCTGCATATTTCCTGCTAACAGTTTACAAAACAGCACTCTCCAACAGGAAGATAAGAAGCGCACTTATTTGTTGAATAACATCAAGGGGGAAAACTGCTAGTTCATCCATTTTGTTGTTAAGTTACTCTAAAGGATCAAAATACCAATTAACTTGCTGGCTCAGAAATCTTTGATATCCTTAGATTTACTGACATTTTGAAGCTCCTGTTCATTCTTGCCTAATGGTCTTCCGATTATGAACAAAGAAGTGCCAATCTGTTTAGCATTTGACCTGTTTTCTGAAATATTTTTATGTATTCAACATCGTGAGGCTAAAAATACTTGACTAGTCATATTCATGTGCTAAAATAATCTTTTTTTTCCTGTTCCACCTCTAAGTTTAAGAGGAAAAAAAGAGACTCAAATGCACTTTTTAAAAAAAGCTGCTTCATTCTTATTTTTAACTTAAGAGCTTTCATTGTAAGGAAATTTTTTTTTTCATGTAATTTAACAGAGTTTGGGAAACTTGATGAAGCCAACTATCATATTTAGGATTAGCAAAAGCTAATCTGAGAAAAAGTCGGGAAAACAACCTTGGAAATGTGCTGCAGAGTGGACGTAAAAAAGACTGATGGAGTGGGACAGACATGTAAATGGACTTGGCTGTCTCTGAGCATCCTGGACAGCAGTGCCTCGCAGAGGTGTTTACTATTGTTGTTGCTCCTTATTTCTCCCCAGATAATTCTGTGAAATTACATCTCAGAGAATCTCTGTGGCAGCTGGGTAGCACAGAGCAGATTTTCATTCTGAAGTAAAGGCAGCTTCCAGGTTTAGGAAATCCCATACAATTTATTTCAATAAAATCAATCGAGGGGCAGGCACTGTGGCACAGCGCGATGCTTGGATCCCTTACTCGGGGTACCAGTTTGCATCCTGGCTGCTCTGCTTCTGCTCCAGCTTCCTGCTAATGGGCCTGGGAAGGCAGTGAAAGACGGCCCAAGTGCCACCTGCGCTGGAGACCCAAATGGAGTTATAGGCTCCTTTCTGGCTCTGATCCAGGCACTGCAGCCATTAGGGGAGTGAATCAGCGAATGGACGTTCACTCTCTGTGTGTGTCTCTACCACTCTGTGTCAGTAAATCTACCTGTCAAATAAATAATAAACCCTCTTTTTAAACAAATATCGATTGAATGCGAGATTAAGAATATGGGTGCTGAAACCAGACTGCTTGGGTTCAAATCCTCATTCTGCTGTTTATAATATGGGACTTTGGGAAAGCCACTTAATTTCTTTGTATGCCCCAATTTCCTCATCTGTAAATGGGGATGATAACAGAGGGTCACTTGTCGGGCTGTTCCAGGGATCAAATGAGATTATATATTTCAGAAGAGTGTCCTAAAATATCCTGTCCCCTGAACGTATCTTGTGCTGTGGTAATTACCATAGTGCCTCCTGTCAGGCCCTGGAAGAGGAGTGGGTCCTGGGGTGCATTCAAAGCCACTCACTGGGAGGATCCTTTCTTCCTAGCCATGAATCACCCAGAGAATTTGAAGTCTAACACTTGATAGTCTGTAAATATCAAAACTTTAAAAATAATCATTTCACCGATATTTCACCTCTTTGCTTAAATTTATTCCTAAGTACTTTATTTTGGTAGCTATTAAAAATGGGGTTGCAGGGCTGGTGCTGTGGCATAGCGGGTGCAGCCTCTGCCACTGTCCTCTGGGTCACTGCAGCTTCACTGGAGCACAATAAAAAGGCAACGTTGAAGTAGCTAATAGGCCTATGACTTGTTTGGCAGCAAGCGGGCAGTCACAGCCGAGGAGGAGCTGTATTTAAAACAATGAATCTGGGGGCCAGCACTGTGGCACAGTGGGTTAAAGCCCCGGCCTGCAGGGCTGACATCCCATATGGGCACCCATTCGAGTCCCGGCTGCTCCACATCCTATCTAGCTCTCTGCTATGGCCTGGGAAAGCCATGGAAGATGGCCCAAGTGCTTGGGCCCCTGCACCTGTGTGGGAGACCTGGAAGAAGCTCCTGGCTCCTGGCTTCAGATTAGCTTAGCTCTGGCCATTGCAGCCATTTGGGGAGTGAACCAGCGGATGGAAGACCTCTCTCTCTCTCTCTCTCTGGCTCTACCTCTCTATGTAACTCTGTCTTTCAAATAAATAAAATAAATCTTTAAAAAAACAACAAATCTGCAAAGCTGCTGGCCTGACCTTTTCACAAACTCCTCAAAGCGGATGCGGTGGGAGTAGCCCTGCCGGCGAATGCTGACTGTCTCCAGGATTCCGGTGGAGCGAAGCTGGGCCAGCACCCTCTCTCTGGAGAACTGCAGGGCCTCTCGGTGGTCATTGGGTTTAATGCAGCGCACAAAGTGGGGCTGTCCCACCACCATTTTGGAGAGCAGATCCATCAGCGAATACTGCCAGGGAGAAAACGCAGGAGGTTACTGGCAACGATCCCATCATCACCATGCAGGCCTGCAGGGACCTCCTGAGCAGCCTGAGGCTCGGGCATGACTCACAGACCCCACTGAGGCGGAACACAAGATCAAGATCAGCAGTAGGAACTGCTAATGTAAGTTCTGCTTAGAGCTGCCTGCAGATTCCAAAGCATTCTTCAAATATCACCAGTGCCAAGTTATATGCCCTGTTGCGGGAACACAGCTAAGAATGCGTTCTAGATTACCCAGAATTCTCAGAACTAGAATGTGATACTCCACAAACTGCCATTGAAAATATCCACAGAAGCGTCTAGGTTCAATTCCCAGCTCTACTCTTGATTCCGGAGTCTTGGTGCCTTCTGAGAGGCAGCAAGTGATGACTCAAGTACTTGGATCCCTGCCACCTATGTGGGAGACCTGGATGGAATTCTAGGCTTCTGGGTTCTCCTGGATCAGCCCCGGCTGTTGCAGCCAACTGGGGAGTGAACCAGTGGATGGAAGACCTCTCTATCTGTCCCTCTCTCCTTGTATTACTCTGCCTGTCAGATAAATCTTGACAATAAAAAACATATATATATATATCCACAGAGCATTTAGGTAAGAGAAAGAAATAAGTGTGTTCAACTTGGAAAAGAGGAAGTCAAATTGTCATTTTTGGCAGATGACATGACTATAAATATATATAAAACCCCAAAGATTCCACACACAAAAAAACAATTAAAACTAATAAACAAATTCAGCAAAATTGCAGCAAAGTCCACGTGCAAAACTCAGCAGCATTGTCATACATCAATTACAAATAATCCGAAAGAGAAATCAAGAAAGCAACCCCATTTCTTTTTTTTTTTTCTTTTAAAATATTGATTGATTGATTTGAAAGGCAGAGTTAGAGAAAGGCAGAGGCAAAGAGAGAGAGGTCTTCTATCTGCTGGTTCACTCCCCAAATGATCACAATAGCTGGAGCTACGCCCATCCAAAGCCAGGAGCCAGGAGCTTCTTCCAGGTCTCCCACGCGGGTGCAGGGACCCAAGCACTTGAGCCATAGCAGAGAGCTGGATGGGAAGCAGAGCAGCTGGGACTGGAACCAGCGGCCAAATGGGATGCTGGCACTGCAGGCAGAGGCCTTACCCGCTACACCATAGCACCGGCTCTGCAAACCCATTTTCAATAGCTACCAAAATAAAGTGCTTGGGAATAAATTTAAGCAAAGAGGTGAAGTATCAGCAAAATGAAAGCTATAGGACACCAATGAAAGAAACAGAAGAGGAACCAGAGAAATGAAAAATCCTGAGTCCCTGGATTGGGAGAGTCAGTATCAAGGTCTATATTCCCCAAAGCAGCTTACAGATTCGATGAAATCCCTATCAAAACACCAATGACATTTTTCCCAGAATTAGAAAGGATGCTGCTAAAATTTGCATGAAACCACCAAAGACCCCCCAAAATCAAAGTAATCTTGAGAGTTAAAAAAACCCAACAGGAGTCATTATGTTACCTGCCTTTAAAATGCATTACAAAGCTACAGTAATTAAAATAGCATGTTGTTGGCATAAAAATAGAAATATAAACCAGTAGAACAGAATACAGAGCCTAGAAGTAAACTCATGCATTTACAACCAACAAATCTCTTTCTAAAAAACTTTTATGTATTTATTTTCATTTTATTTTAAAGGCAAACAGAAAGACAGACTGTCACACACACACACACACTCTTCCATCTGCTAGTTCACTCCTCAAATGCCTACAACAACCAGGACCACACCAGGGTGAAGCCAGAAACCAGGAACTCAATCTGGGTCTCCCATATAGTGCAGGGACCCATGTACTTGAGCCATCACCTGCTGCCTGCCAAGGTGAGCTTTATCAGGAAGACGGATCAGAAGCAGAGGAGCTGGGATACAAACCAGGCACTCCAATATGGGATATAGGCATGTGCAGTGGTGACTTTAATTAATTATTTTTTTTAAGTTTAAACAGTAATTAACCAGTTTTCAATATTGTTTTCACTGAGGGTTTTGATGGGTTTGGCATCCCAGGAATAGTTGTGAGATGACGACTTGTAAATTTTTAAAAAATTTTTTTAGGATTTATTTTTTATTTAAGTGAAAGGCAGAGTTACAGAGAGAGATATCTTTCATCTGCTGGTTCGTTCCCCAAATGGCTGCAACAGCCAGCGCTGGTCCAGGCCAAAGCCAGGAGCTATATATTTAGTAAATATAAATTTCCAAAGTACAGCTTATGGATTACAATGGCTTTCCCTCCCCCCATAACTTCCCTTCCACCCGCACCCCTCCCAACTCCCGCTCCCTCTCCCCTTCCATTCACATCAAGATTCATTTTCAATTATCTTTATATACAGAAGATCAATTTAGTATATATTAAGTAAAGATTTCAACAGTTTGCACCCACACAGAACATAAAGTGTAAAATACTGTTTGAGTACTAGTATCTGGAACACATCATGCTGAGTGAAATAAGCCAGTCCCAGAGGGACAAATATCATATGTTCTCCCTGATCGGTGACAACTAACCGAGCACCAAAAAGGAAACCTGTTGAAGTGAAATGGACACTATGAGAAACAGTGACTTGATCAGCCCTTGTCCTGACTGTTGATGTACAACATTTAGATCTTTCGTCTATTCTGAGTTGATTTTTGCACAAGGTGAGAGATAGGGAGCTAGTTTTATTCTTCTGCATGCAGATATCCAATTTTCCCAATACCATTTATTGAAATGGCTGTCCTTTGGCATGTTCTTTTTTTTTTTTTTCTTCTTTAAGATTATTTGAAAGCAGAGTGACGGAGAGAAAGGAGGAGAGACAGAGACAGAGAGACATTGAGATCTTCCATCTGATTGTTTACTTCCCAAATGACTGCAACAATCGAGGCTGGGCCAAGTCAAAGCCAGGAGCCAGAAACTCCATTCTGGTTGCCCACATGGGTAGCAGGAGTCCAAGTACTTGGGCCACCTTCCATTGCTTTCCCCAGCACATCAGCTGGGAGGTGGATTGGAAGCAGAGCAGCCAGGAATGGCACCAGCACTCTGATAGGAATGCTAGCATCATGAGTGGTGGCTTAACAGGCTGTGCCACAAGATTGGCCCCCACAGTGCATGCTTTTTAGTACCTCTGTCAAAGATCAGTTGGCTCAGGACAAGTGCTTCACAAAGAGATTAAACTCGCTGCTTCAGGGCCAGTGTTGTAGCATAGCAAGTAAAGCCTCCGCCTGCGATGCCAGCATACCATTATGGGTGCCAGTTCGAGACCTTGCTGTTCCACTTCCAGTACAGCTCCCTGCTAATGTGCCTGGGAAAGCAGAGGAAGATGGTCCACGTCCTTGGGTCTTTGCACCCATGTGGGAGACCCGGATGAAGCTCATGCCTCCTGGCTTTGGCCTGGCCGAGGCTGGGCTGTTATGACCATTTGGGGAGCAAACCAGGGAATGGAAGTTTCTCTCTCTCTCTCTCTAATTCTACCTTTCAAATAAATAAATCTTCTAAAAAGAAAAAAAATATAGAGGAAATTCTCAGGACATTGAAATGTTCAAGGAATTTTTGGATCAGATCCTAAAACACAGGAACCAGAAAAATAAACAAATGGGATATCATGAAACTACAAAGCTATTCTACTGCAAAAGAAATAATCAACAGGGTAAAGAGGCAGCCTGTAGAATGAGGGAAAATATTTACAAGCTGTATGTTTTACAAGGGCTTGATAATCAGAACGTATAAAAAATTCAAATGACTAATAGCAAAAAAGTCAAATAATCCAATTTTAAAGTTGGCAGATCTAAACAGGCATTTCTCAGAAAGAGGACAAAGGGGGCCAGTGCTGTGTTGTAGTGGGTAAAGCCACTGCCTGCAGTGCCAGCTTCCCATATGGGCGCCAGTTTGAGTCCCGGCTGTTCTACTTCTGATCCTGCTCTCTGCTATGGCCTGGGAAAACAGGAGAAGATGGCCCAAGTCTTTGGACCCCTGCACCCATGTGGAAGACCCAGAAGACACTCCAGACTCCTTACTTCAGATCAGCCCAGCTCTGGCTGTTGAGGCCATTTGGGGAGTGAACCAGTGGATGGAAAATCTCTCCTTCTCTCTGCCTCTGACTCTCTGTAACTCTGCCTTTCAAATATAAATAAATATTTCTAAAAAAAAATAAATAAAAGGAAGAAGAAAAAGGGTCCCCAGGTACATGAAAATATGTTCAACATCAGTGGTCATCAAGGAAATACAAACCAAAACCAGAATGAGACATTACTTCATTCCAGTTAGCCTGGTTAATTTGGGGATAATAACAACAAAAAAAGTGACAGAGATAATAAGTGCTGGTGAGGATGTGGAGAAAAAGGAACCCTGCACACTGCTGGTAAGAATGTAAATTAGCACAGCCTTTGTGGAAAACAGTCTGGCAATTCCTCAAAAGATGAGAAACAGAATTACCATACAGCAATCCCACCACAAGGATTTCCCACATATCTGTGGGAAAGGAGATCACTTTGTCAGAGATATCTGTCCTCCCATGTTTATTGCGACCGTATTCACAATAATCAAGAAATGGAAACTACCTCAGTGTCCATCAGCTGGTGAACTGATACAGAAAATGTTGCTCATACACATGTTAGGATACTACTCAGCCGTAGAAAAGAATGAATCCTGTCATCTGCAACAACACTGGTGGGACTGGAGTCACAACATTAGGTGATACAAGTCAAGCACACAAAGACAAGTACCACATGGTCTCACTCATATGTGGATTCTCAAAATGCTTATTTTACATAATCAGAGAGTATAACAGTACATACTGGAGACCAGGGAGAGAAAGGGGACAAGGGGTGAGGAAAGTGGATACTAAGTTATGGTTAGATAGGAGTAAGAAGTTTTGTTGTTTTATTGCACAGTAGGGTGACTATAGATAATGATAATGTACTGTGTATTGTTCTGAAAACAAACTAGAGGAAAGGATTTGGAAGGTTTCATCACAAAGAAATGATAGGTGTTTGAGGAGGTAGATATGTTTGTACGGATTGATCATTACACATTTTATACATGTATTATAATATCCCATGGTACCTCATAAATACATATAACTTTTATATCAGTTAAAAATTTTGAAAATTTTTAAAAATAAAGTGTGCAGCTTTTAGGAAAGAGGTTAGTTGCTTTGTCAGCCTGGGAACCACTAGGAAGTCTAAGCAAATCCTACTGATAGGATCATTACTTGGTAATAATGTAGTGGAACAAAAAAGAAAACTTGAAAAAGAGGGCAAAGAAAACAAAAAAATCAGAGAAAAAGATTCCGACAAAGATCAACTAACATATACTAAGAGGTCAGTACTGGGTTCGCCCAGAGAGAGGGGCGGACGGGGATGGAAATGGAAACCAGAGAGGCGGCCTCCCTGTTGCTCAGGGGTATCCACAGGTGGGGGTTCTCCTGGGCACATCTCGGGATCCTTACAAGCCAAACAGGCAATCAATTCCACTGTTTCTAATCACCCCTCTTACAGATCAAACCTGGTGTTTCCTAACTTCTCAAGGTATCCTATTTTTTTCAGGTTTAGCATCAGGAGACTGCTAAAGTTTTTGTTTGCTTATTTATTTGTTTTTATTTGAAAAGCAGAGAGAGAATCTTCCATACGTCAGCTCACTTCCCAAATGCCCACAACAACTTCAGCTGGGCCTGGCTGAAGCCAGGAGCCAGAAATTCTACCTGGATTTCCCTCCTGTGTGGCAGAGACCTAAGTATTTGAGATTTGAGCCATCATCTGCTGTCTCCCAGGGTGCAGATTTGCAGGAGGCTGGATCAGAAGTGGAGGTGCGATTCAGTCCTAGGCACTCTGATAGGGATGTGGCATTTCAAGCAGCAGCTTAATCTGTTAGACCACAATACCTGCCTCAGAATTGGTATTTTCAGAACACCAAACTGGTAGTCATGAGTATATTTCTGTAAAACTGCAAGCAGAGGTTTTTCTGCAAATAGGGAAGTGTAGTATCTTGAGAATGACTCCACAGACTTCCAAATCCTATGGAAAACCTACACACACACACACACACACACACACACACACGCGCACAGTTATTAGGAGCAGGATTTAGTAGCTGAAGATGACAGAACCATGGTGGGTTTCTGGAAAAGAAATATGTCACAATCAGAAATGTCTAAATGTCAGAGTGATGAAGCAGGGGCTGAATGCCACCTGCTTGCCATCTGAATGCCAGAGATGCATTAGTAGGACTCACTTCATGGATGGAGCTCCTGGGGCCGGCGCTGTGGTACAGTGGGTTAAAGCCCTGGCCTGAAGCACCGGCATCCCATATAGGTGCTGGTTCTAGTCCCAGCTGCTTCTCTTCTGATCCAGCTCTCTGCTATGGCCTGGGAAAGCAGTAGAACATGGCCCAAGTCCTTGGGCCCCTGTATCCATGTGGGAGACCTGGAAAAAGCTCCTGGCTTCAAATCGGTGCAGCCCTGGCCATTGTGGCCATCTAGGGAGTGAACCAGCAGATCGAAGACCTCTCTGTGTCTCTACCTCTCTCTGTAACTCTGTCTTTCAAATAAAATAAAATAAATCTTTAAAAAAAAAAAAAAAGGATGGAGCTCCTGAAATTCATACCCAGAGCCCAATGCTCATCTGCCTTGAGGCATCACTGGCTAGGTTGGACTTCGTACCTTCAGGTCCTTCTTGCACCTGCTAGCTTTCCATGGGGGTCTTCCAACCCCAGCGCTGGCTCCTCCAACCTATGACCCAGCTGACCTTCCATTCTTGCTGAGTCCCTTCCCTTACCAATCTATTCAGCTGTTGCTGCGATAAGTTCTGCTTCAGGCCTAACATCTCTACCATGAAGCTCTTCAGACCTTGGCTCCCAGTGATGCATGATCTCTAAGGGGCATCCAACTCCAACGTCTTATAAAGATTATAAGATCAACAACTCTGCAAATTGGTACAAAAGTGCAAGTGTCTTATATCTGATAAATATAATGCATTTAACAGAGTCCTTCTAGAGACAACATTTTTACCTAAAGGAAATATTTTACAAGACGAAATAACAGAAATTGGGGTAGCAGAAACAGGAAATTATAGGGCCAAAACAAGTGAGTTTTGCAATGAGTCATTTCAGTCCAGGAAAATCATGTTAATGTTAAAACAGAATCTTTCAACATCTGAACTTGATAAGCTACCTCCCAGAATTTTCTTAACTACTCTTCAGTATGCTGGAAAAGTGGCTGGTTCCAGTTCAGTAGCTTTATGGCCAAGACACAACCCAAATGCTAACAGAATCAGTGCATTCAATGGACAGAGCTGTGTGCCCTGTGTTCTCTCTCTGCTGCAGCCTCACTCCCTGCCATGACTCGCTCCTGTGCTTTGCCCTTGTTTCAATGACTATATCCTTTCTGGGCTTCCCAGGCAAAGGCTTAGCAAGAGCTCTTTGGAGGTAAGCAAATTGGAGCTCAAGAAGATTCTTTAAAAATGAGAAACATCTGAGGTGATAGGTATGCCAATGACCCTGATCTGATCATTATACATCACATAAATATAATGCCACATGCACAGTCACTCTGTGTCAGTTAAAATTAATACATTTTTCAGGGGCGGGTGTTGTGGCACAAGCAGGACACTGCTTGGGATGCCTGCATCCTGTATCAGAGCACCTAGTTCAAATCCAAGCCAGCTCCCTGCTAAAGTACCTGGGAGGCAGCATGTGATGGTTCACACACTGGAGTTCCTGTCACCCATGTGGAAGACCAAGATGGACTTGCTGGCTCCTGACTTTCGGCTTGGCCTAATGGTGGCTGTTGCAGGTATTTGGTTAGTGAAGCAGCAGATGGAAGATCTTGCTCTTCTTTCTTTTAAACAAATAAGCAAATCTCAAAAATGAACTAAAATGTTTAAAAAGGGAGTACAGGGGCTGGTGTTGTAGTGCAGCAGCTGGAGCCACTGCCTATGATGTCAGCATCTAACACTGGAGAGCCAGTTTGAATCGCACTGCTCTGTTTCTGATCCATTTCCCTGGTAATGTGCCTGGGAAAGCGGCGGATGATTGCCCAAGTACTTGGGCCCCTGCCACCCACATGGGAGACCCAGATGAGTTCCTGGCTCTTGACTTCAGCCTGGCCCAGCCTGGCTAGGTTGGATGCAGCCATTTGGGGAATGAATCAGCAGGTGGAAGACATCACTCTGTCTCTCCCTCTCTCTCTCCCTTTAAAAAAATTTCATAAAATCTCAAAATAAATGAATAAATGGAAAGGTGTATAGCCCTTTTCACCACACACACACATATTTTGCCCCCTACCAAAGACGACTCCATACCCGGAAGTACGAAGCCATGGTTTGCCTCTTCATGTTTGTGGTTTCTTCTGGGTGCCGTATCACCTCCAGAGTGTCGACCTGGAAACACAGGAAGAGGTTTGAGAATCAGGTACTTAATTCTTTTTCCATGCTTTCCAAAACCTGGGAAGCTGTTTGGTGAAACATCTGAGAGGCCACGGTGTTTAGGACACAGAATGGGGGCCAGCACTGTGGCGTAGCAGGTAAAGCTGCCACCTGTGATACAGACATCCCATAGTGGTGCCATTTCAAGCCCCGGCTGCTCCACTTCTGATCCAGCTTCCTGATAATACACCTGGGACAGTTGCAGAAGATGGCCCAACTACTTGGGTCCCTGCACCCACGTGGGAGACCCAGAAGAAGCTCCTGGCTCCTGGCTTTAGACTGGCTCAGCCACAGCTGCGGTGGCCACTGAGGAGTGAACCAGCAGATGGAAGACCTCTCCCTCTCTCCTCCTTCTCCCTCTCTACCTGTGCCTTTCAAATAAATAAATAAACCTTTTTTAAAAAGGACACAATAGTGTACACTCGCGTGGAGAATATTTTTAAATGTTTATTGTTTATTTGAAAGGCAGAGGGACACACAGAGAGAAATCTTTCATCGGCTGGTTCATTCCCCAAATGCTGGCAACAACCAGGGCTAGGCCAGGGTTAGGCCAGAAGCCAGGCACTCCATCTAGGCCTCCCACCTGGGTAGCAGGGACCCAAGCACTTCAGCTACCACCTGCTGCCTCCCAGGATGCCCATCAGCAGGAAGCTGGGTCAGAAGCAGAGAAGTGGGCATTAAACCATGTACTACAATATGTGGTGTGGTATCCCAAACAGAGGCTTAACCTGCTGTGCCATAAGATCCACCCCTGGGGAGAATTTTTAAACATATATAAAAGAAATAAAAAAGGAGGCTGGCACTGTGGTACAGCATGTTAAGCTGCTGCCTGCAACACTGTCATCCTATCCGAGCACCAGTTTGAATCCCAGTTCCTCCACTTCTGATCCAACTCCCTTCTAATGAACTGGGAAGGCAGCAGGAGACAGTCCAAATGTTTGGGCTCCTGCACCCATGTCAGAGACAAGAATGGAGTTTCTGGCTCCTGGTATGGGCTTGGCCCAGCCCTGGATGCTAATGCCATCTGGGAAGTGAACCAGCAGATCAAAGATCTCTTTCTCTGCTATTCTGCCTTTCAAATAAATTAAAACAAAAAGTACACTCTTCTCATTTGACTACATGACTGCATTCTATGATCTTAGTATTCATCCTATCAGTGTCATTTCTTTTTTCTTTAGTATTTATTTATTTGAAAGGCAGAGTTATAGAAAGAAAGGAAAAGACAAGGAGATCTTCCATCCATTGGTTTACTCCCCAAATTGCCACACTGGCCAGGTCTGGGCCAGGCCAAAGCCAGGAACTTGGAATTCCATCCTAATCCCATGTGGATGGCAGGGGCCCAAGGACTTGGGCCATCTTCTGCTGCTTTCCCAGGCACATTAGCAGAGAGATAGATTGGAAGTGGAGTACTAATATTGGATGCCAGCATCACAGGCAGCGGCTTAACCCTCTATGCCACAACACCCACCCCTAATGTTATTTCTACACTTCTCTATCTTCAAAATGGCCCCTGTAAAATTCTCCAGTGATGTCACAACAGGCCAATCTGTTTCTTCAGAGAAAATCGGGCAAAGAAAGGTCCTTGAGGTTGGGTGATTATAAAGACACAGGCCCCAAGGCCAGGTTGCACTGCAGGGAATTAGGCCAGCATCAATCACCTCCCACCAGTCAGATCCTCCTGCCTCTGCAGTTCCCCTAGACTCACTGCAGGTGGGAACTTAAGCACCAAAACATTCAGGTATCCAGTGGGATACACGTGTTCCCATTCATCTCTCCCAACCTACCTAGGCTGAGTGGAAGGAATGTATGGTTGAAAACAATTGTAGGCATCTATTGCGAGCAGCCTGTGTTTCCTTACTGTAGTTCAATGACAGAAATCCGGCTGGCACCAGCGCTGTGGCGTAAAGGGCTAAGCCTCCACCTGTGCACTGGCATTCCATATGGACACTGGTTCAAGTCCCAGCTGCTCTTCTTCCAATTCAGCTCTCTGCTATGGCCTGGGAAAGCAGTAGAAGATGGCCCAAGTGCTTGGGCCCCTGTACCCACGTGAGAGACTTGGAAGAAGCTCCTGGCTCCTGGCTTCAGATTGGCCCAGCTCCAGCTGTTGCAGCCATTTGAGGAGTGAACCAGCGGATGTGTTTCCCTATCTGTCTGTAACACTACCTCTCAAATAAGTAAAATCTAAAAGAAAAAAAAAAAAAAGAAATGAAACTCTGCTTTGGTTTGCAGAGTGCATGAGCGGCATTTCAACACCAGCCTTTGAATGGCAGCTCCCATCTGCCCTGAACAGGTAGAAAGGGTGTGAAACACGAATGTTTGAACTGGAATCAGTGCTTAGTGGACTTCAGTCCAGTAGGTCCTGGGTGCTATTCAAGGGAGAGGGTTGAAAGGGAGAATAATGAGGCTCATATGGAGGTGCATTTATGAAACAGTGCAAAATGGAAGCAAATGCTTCAACTGGGTTGGATTTAAAAAAAAAAAAAACAGTTTCAGGGTGGGTGTTTGGCACAGCAGTTAAGGCAGCACTTGGGACACCCAACATCCCATATCAGAGTACCTGCATTCGAGCCCTAGCTTGGCTTCCAATTCCAGCTTCCTGCTAATGCATAGCGTGGGAAGCAGCAAGTAATGGCTCCAGTTGTTGAGTCCCTGTTGCCCACAGGGCAAACCTGGACTGAGTTCCAGGCTCCTGGCTTTGGCCTGGCCTAGCCCTGGCTGTTGCAGGCATTTGTGGAGTAAGCCAGTAGATGAGAGCTATTTCTCTCTCTCCCTCCCTCCTTCCATCCATCCCTCCTTTTCTGTCTGCATTTCAAACAAGTTGAGAAATAAATTTGAAAAGATTTTTAAAAAGAGAAAATAGGCTTATTTAAGAAGGGAGAAAAGACATACAGCGAAGTTATCACCAACCAGAACCGTGAGCACCAACAGGACCTGAGGGAAGACACCCGCGGGCAGGGCCGCTTTAGCTGCCTGGGCTGCACTTTGGATGTCACCAGTGCACTCACAGGCAGCCTAAGCAGCGACACAACTGCTGGCCTTTTTTATGAGAGAGAGGAAGCTGAAGGCTTCTGAGTTCTGCAGGAAGCCTGCTCTGCTGTGGAAACAGGAAAACAGTGCAACACCTGCGCCCTCCCTGCAGGGAAGGTGCCCGGAACCCCCCTAGCTTGCTTGCTCGGGAGGGCTCTTTCCACTCCTCCTTCCCAGGAAGCAGGAGGCTCGGGGCCCAGGAGGCTGCAGGCGAGCTGAGGAAAGGAGCGACCTTGGCCGGGGCAGGCCTACCGCTGAATCGCGAGGTAGGAGCGTTTTCTTCCACTTGTTTCTCCGTCGACTCTCCCCTCAGCTCTGGGCCTGACCTCCATACACATTTGCACACACAACCTTGGGGAATTTCTCCACCACTTCCTTTCACTCTGAGATCCTCCCAGAAGAAGCACCTCCTGCTTTGAACCTGGCTTTTCCTCCTTCATTCCCCTCCCTCTTTATTCAAATGAGCAGTGAGTGCAGTCCCCAGGCTCTGGCCCGCAGGGAGGGGGCGGCTGAAAAGCTCATCCCTACTGGCAGTTTTCTGGGAGCAGGTGCTCACGGGTTTCCCTGCTCCCCTCCTACAGTAGACCCTTGGCATGTGAGAATTTAACAGTTCAGTCTCCAGGAAACCCTTGGTGTGTATTAATTCAGCTGAGAACAATTTCAAAGGAATAATCTATTGTTTTCAAGACTGGTATGGTCGGTCCTAGCAGACACTGGAAAAATACAGAATGAAACACCTATTTGCACTCTAAAGGTATAAAGTTGGTGTGGATGGAGGTAACCTCAGCTACTGGGCACCCCCATACAACCATCCAGCATCCTTGTTTCAACCTGACTTTAAGTCTGTCCTGGCATCACACACACCCAGTAACTCTCAGGAAGTAGATAAAAACCTGCTCTTTGTTGTATACAACTTGGAAATACTAATGCTTGCCTACAGTTCATCACCTACTTATTTAGTACTGTATTTTTGAAGAATAAATGATACGCTATTGGAATATTTTCTAATTTAAGAATTTATGGGCCAGCGCCGCCGCTCACTAGGTTAATCCTCCGCCTTGCGGCGCCAGCATACCGGGTTCTAGTCCCAGTCGGGGCGCTGGATTCTGTCCAGGTTGCCCCTCTTCCAGGCCAGCTCTCTGCTGTGGCCAGGGAGTGCAGTGGAGGATGGCCCAAGTGCTTGGGCCCTGCACCCGCATGGGAGACCAGGAGAAGCACCTGGCTCCTGGCTTCGGATCGGTGCAGCGCCGGCCGTACCGTAGGGACCATTTGGGGAGTGAACCAACGGAAGGAAGACCTTTCTCTCTGTCTCTCTCTCTCACTGTCCACTCTGCCTGTCAAAAAATATTTTAAAAAAATAATAATTTATGAAGATCTTGGGTTAGCCAAGGGTCTCTTGCACATTTGCATAGTCAAAAGTTACTCTTGACATGAAGTGTATATCAAGGAGGGAATTTCAGACAAGAGACAAATCAGAAGTTGCCACCCTCAGTCTTCTAATCTGAGAGGCCTCTGTCTGCCACAGGACTAATCATGGAACTCCAAAGCCAGCTGAAAACCTGAAAACCAAAAGGGTCAAAAAGGCTATTGTCTAACCTAAGAGTTTTTCTTCCTGGGCTAATTTAGTTGGTGGAGGCGTTATTTAATTAAACAAGAAAAAATCTATAAACAATCAAGAAAAGTAGATTCCAAGAAGGGCATCACCTAGCCAAATATTTTTTCCCAAGGTGGGGATTTTCACCAGAAAAACACTGTCCTCTCCAAAGTATAAGTTTTTTGTTGTTGCTGTTGTTTTTGTGTGTGTGTGTGTGTGTGTGTGTGTTTACCTAAGTCAGGAAAATAAAACAAAGTCTAGAAAAGATTTCCCAGGCTCAGAGAGGGACACACTATACAGCAGAGTTTTGGAATGGGACACATCTGATTCAAAACCTGGATTGTGTACTTGCTGACTGTGAGGCCTTGATTGGACTTGTTACCATACTTCTCAAAGCTTCTGTTTTCCTCATTGCAAAACTGATCTGCACCTACACGCAACAGGTAACATTCGTTCTCCTTGCATCATGACCTTCTTGCTTTAGTTTTAATGCAGTACTAAATATTAAAGATGCAAGGCTGTGGTCAATGGCAGAAGAACAGTTCTAGAACCCAACCAATGCAGCAAGGAGATATTTTTTCTTTATTGGCAGAGAAAATGCTTCCAATGAAACCAATTTCAAAAGTATCATAAGCAATACTCTGGATAAAACCAACACTGGTGTAACTCAGTATTCTCTCCTCCTACAAAACCAATTCACACAACACCGGAAATCCACTGGGGCTGAGTGAGCTTGCTTTCTGCCCACAAATGCCCCGCCTCATTCTTTGTGAATGGCTCTAGATAGCCTTCAAAGCTGTCACAGGTCAGCTGTACAAATTGCCCTACAGACTCCAATCCCACATTAGTGGAGTGAGGTTCGATGTACATGGGGTCTCCACACATGGAATCTTTTGTGGTTATCAAAACTCGAGTAATAAAGCATTTGGGTGCTTTCTATGTGAAATCACAACTAAACACTTTGCCTACATTATGTCATTGAATTGTCAAAGCACACATATGAGGTAAGTACCTTTATTATGCCCTTTCTACATCTGAGACTTTATGTAAAGGCTCAGTCTTGTGGCCAGTTTATGGCTCCCCCTAGATCTGAATGCAGTTCTGATGCCCAAACCTTACTTCTCAAACATTATATGCTGTTGCCTATATGGTTTGATCTAGCTTGTAAAGTCACTATCTGAAAGCATGGTATTATTAAAAAAGATTTGCCTTATCTGTCAGCTGAGTTTACTCTGGGCCAAAGATACAGACTTTAAAAGTTCCCTAAACCATTTGGATCTCAACACTAACTGGAAAACTGAGTCATTTTCTTCTGGCCCTGGTAAATAATCACTATTTACATCCAGAAACTTCAGAAGTGCTTCTGCTTACTATCTTCCTGACAGGGTCTTTTTTCAAGAATTTTTACTGCTCTCAAGTGAGACACCCATCCCTCAAGAAAAATAAGGAAAAAGAAAATTCTTACAGCATCAGTGTTCTCAACAGCACTGAATGGGAAAGGCAGACTCACAGTGAAAACACTCTGAGTGATGCTCAGTGTGTTGGAAGTGGTATCTTTAGAATTTTTTATTAGTATTAGCATTATTATTAGAATGTTATTTTTATTATGTTAATGGTGCAAATGTATGCCATACACTAGAAGCCATGCTTCTAAATGTGGGCAGGGTCTGAACAACAGTAGATGTTGGATTGTAGGAGGGAGGTAGCACAGTGCTGTGATTCTGGCTGTGGAAGGCAGGAGAATGGGTTCCGGGAGGGTCCAGTGGCCAAAAGTCAAATTGTGGAAAGGAGAGGGATGAGGGTTTTGAAGCAACACTACGCAGACGTCTTTAATCGCGTTGTGTCATGAGCCCTTTTAGAATCTGCTGGAAACCAGTGACTCCAAAAAACACATACACCATCTGTCTTGGTTACTTGTAGACTCTATATTTGTGAATTCGCCTACTTGGTAACTTTTATTTATAACTCCAAGGTTAATAATTCTAATGCTTTTATGGTCATTTACAGAAAGGCAGAGAATAGCGGAAAATTTGAGTCTCTTGATGAAGAGGTTTCCAACTAAATTCAAATAGGATGATAGGTCCCCAAGTATAATAGTGAAGTGCTAAACTGGTATTCCTAAACACAAGAAGGCTGTGATGTCTTATGGGGAAAATACATGTGTTAGATGAGCATTGTTGAGGCATGAGTTACAGAGCTATGGGCTCTGAGTTCAATGACACAAATGCTACAACTGAAATAGTTTTATATAAGGAAATAATGTACTAAATAAATTATTTATAGGAAATATATATTAAATAAAGTCTCTTTAAATAGAAAAATATAGGACAGGGTATTTGGTTCAACGGTTAAGATACCACTTGGGTGGGCCGGCGCTGTGGCAGAACAGGTAGAGCCGCCACCTGCAATGCCGGCATCCCATATAGGCTCCAGTTCGAGTCCCAGCTGCTCTACTTCCAATCCTGCTCTCTGCTAATGGCCTGGGAAAGCAGTAGAAATGGCCCAGGTCCTTAGGCCCCCATACCCATGTGGGAGACCCGGAGGAGGCTCCAGGCTCCTGGCTTTGGATCTGCCCAGCTCGGGCTGTTGCAGACATTTGGGAAGTGAACCAGCAGATGGAAGAGCTCCACCCCCACCCCACCTTTCCTCTCTGTGACTCAGCCTTTCAAATAAATAAATCTTAAAAAGAAAAAAAAGAATGCTACTTGGGACATCTGCATCCCATATTGAAGTGTCTTGGTCTGAGTCCTGGCTCTGCCCCTGATTCCAGCTTCCTGCTAATGCACACCCTGGGCGGCAGCAGGTGATGGCTCAAGTAGCTGGGTCCCTGCCATCCATGTGGGAAATCCAGGCTGAGCTCCTGGCTCCTGGCTTCAACTTGGCCCATCCCCAGCTGCTGTGGGTATTTGGGGAGTGAACCAGTGGATAGATAATTTGTCTCAGTGTCTTTGTTTCTCTGTCTTCCAAATAAATATACTAAATAAAAATTAAATAAAACCACATAAAATAAAACCACATAAAATGAGGTTGTACATTGCTTGGCTGACAAAAATGTTGTGATGAGAGCCTCGTGGGAACCTAATACTATATTTCCCTAGCAGCAATGGTACATTGTTTGCTGATTCTGGATTTGCGGCAACTTTAGAGAACAAAACTTCCAGAAACAATGAGAATCAACTATATGAAACACAAACACCAGTTTCAATGTGAGATCAAGACCCTCTGAGAACCACTGAAACTCCTAAATAAATCTCTTCTAGGGACCCACATAACCCATGTGAAATATCCTACTAACCTGCCACAAAGCAGCATGGCGGAAAAGTAAGGTATTACAGTAGACTGTCATAGCAATGAGCGCATAAAAACTATTTTTAACAAAAATGATTTGAGTTCCTACTATGTGCAAGTAGTCTTTTATTCTCAAGAAAAAAACAGTATAAATAATATCCTGTGTCGATTTGGGGACAGCATTCAATAGTATTACGAGTGGCCAAACTGCTTATTCTTTCTTTTTCTTTTTTCTTTTTTTTTTGACAGGCAGAGTGGACAGTGAGAGACAGACAGAGAGAAAGGTCTTCCTTTTGTCATTGGTTCACCCTCCAATGGCCGCTGTGGCTGGCGCACCGCGCTGATCCAAAGCCAGGAGCCAGGTACTTATCCTGGTCTCCCATGGGGTGCAGGGCCCAAGCACCTGGGCCATCCTCCACTGCACTCCCTGGCCACAGCAGAGAGCTGGCCTGGGAGAGGGGCAACCGGGACAGACTCCGGCGCCCCGACCAGGACTAGAACCCAGGGTGCTGGCGCCGCAGGCGGAGGATTAGCCTAGTGAGCCGCGGTGCCGGCCAAACTGCTTATTGTTTAACAAAGATTAGAAAACCCAGAATTGCAAACTGCTTATTATTCCATCACCTTCAAGATGCTTGTGTTTTGGGGATTAGTATACACAGGGAACATTAACCAGATGGTCCTTAGCTAAACCTCAGCTGGAAGACTAGAACAGCAAAACCATTTTTTAGAACAGAGTATTCATAAACCTTCAAACATCCCCTTAGAGCAGAGCAATGGGAAACAGTGTGGTTTCTTTCTCCCTGCTGATCCCACTTCGTCTGTTCTCCTCCTCTGTGGGTTGGAGACAGCCTCAAGAAGACATGTTTTATCTCTTCTTAGTTGGACTTTATTTTCCAGCATCATCATTCTGCATCTTTGCAGTAATCTTTCTGAGAATCAGGGTTCCAGGATGGCGCTTCAAGCTTCCTGACCCCTACTGTCCTAAATGTCTTCCATCTCTTTATCAGACTGTTCAGGCTACATGAAAGGAGATGACACTGTCCACTCCAGCATTATCCCCGGGGCACAAGAACCACCTTGGTTCACATCTTGTTTTGGGTACAAATCCGCTACTCACTTTGGCTTTCCCAGCACTGAAATGGGGAGGCAACGATCTTGAGGCTGCCGACACCCTGGCTCTGGTCTGGGCCAAATTACCTGAGCAAAAGAGACAAAGAACTTAACTGAAGTAAATGTGAGAAATAGGACCTCAAGGAATTTTCCTTTTATATCCTTGTATTTTTCTGAATTTTGCAAATTTCCAAATTATCTCTGAACTTGAAAAATTTAGAAAAATTTGAGTTTTGATTACATAAAACATAAAAATTATTTAAAAATATAGTTTCATGAGACCCATATGAATAATCTTAAATAATTTATAAAATAAAATGAATTTGTATTAATTTTACAAGCAAAAACAATAAGAGAAAAGTACTGAATTCACTCAACAAATTAGGAATAGAAGGAAATTACCTCAACACAATAAAGGCCATAACACGTGAAAAACCCACAGCTAGCATATTCAATGGTAAAAAACTAAAAACATTTCTTCCAAAATCAGGAACAAGCTAGCTATAGAAACTAGGCAGGAAAAGTAAATAAAAGGCACCCAAGTCAGAAAGGAAGAAACAAAATTATCTACTGACAGACAACATGAAAATATGCAGAAAACCCTAAAGATCCCACACATTGTCATCACTACAAAATGAACTCAACAAACGCAGAGGATAGGAAGTCAGCACGCAAAAAGCAACTGCACTGCTATATACTAATAACAAATTATCCAAAAAAGAAATTAGGAAAATAATTCAGTTTATAAGAATATAAAAAAATACAATACTTAGGAATTAATTTAACCAAGGAGGCAAACATTTATACATTAAAAACTTTAAGACATTGCTGAGAGTAATTAAAGAAGGCACAAATGCAAAGACATCGTTATGCATAAAATAGAAGAATTAATATTGCTAAAAAGTCCATAGTATCCCAAAAATCTACAAAATCTACAAATTCAATGCAATTGCTCTCAATACCCCAGTGGCATTTTTCACAGAAACAGAAAAAACGTGCTATATTGCTCGCTCCGCAGGCTCACGGAGGAGCGGCAACGGATTTGCTGTTGTTTCTTTCCCCAGTCCTCCCCGGATTAGTTGCCGCCCCCCCCCGCCCCCCCGCCTCCGCAGAGGGGCGGCACCCCCGCCGCTTCCCCCACTTCCGCAGAGGAGCGGCACACTGCCGGCCGGCTCTCTCAGGGGTTCCTCAGATGTTCCTCCTGCATGTTGTCTCTCTCCTCCTTTATAGTCCTCTTCTAACAATCCATGCTCTGCTGGTGTTCTCTCCCCACGCGCTGAGCACGCTGCTCTCCTCCAATCAGGGGCAGGATCAGCTCCTGCAGCTTGTTAGTCGAATTGGTGAGGCAGCTGTGTAGAAGTTGTTTACTCTTTCTCAGCGCCATATGGTGGGAGATCAGATGCATAGAGTTAGTCTTAGCAGTTCCAGTAGTTTAGTCTAGTCTCGGTAATCTCAGTATTTGTCCTCAGTATTTATTTGTCCACAGTCTTAGTACTTATTTGTCTCCCGGGCGACGGGCCCTGCTCCCCACTGGGCCCTACTCCCCACAGTGCTACAATTCATATGGAACACAAAGGACCCAAAACAATCAAACTGATCTTAAGAAAGAAAAATCTGAAGGCTTCATTCTTCTTGACTTCAAAATATAGTACAAAGCTACAATAACCAAAATAGTATGCTATTCTGGTCTGGCCAAAAAGCCATGAGAGTATTTCAGGCATGGAAATGCCAAGAAACTGTGACAAAAAAAAAAGTCCTACATGAAAGAGACCCCAGGGGAAAGATGGGGTCATCAAAGAAGGATGTACTTTTCTCTGAAGGGAGGAGAGAACTTCCACTTTGCTTATGGCCTTGTCTAAATACTGACGGAGATTATGGACTCAAAAGGCTTCCATAGCGTTGGCAGCACATGTCAAGAGCCTCAAATGATCACTGATGTCATAAATAAGAGTGTTAATTGTTAAATGAACAGGAGTCACTGTGCACTAACTCCCCATGCAGGACCTCTGTCCTTAATGAGTTGTATGAGAATTAACTGTAAAACTTGTTCTTAAGCAGTTTTTTATATTTTCTGTGCATGTGTGTGCAAATTGTTGAAATCTTTACTTAGTATAGAGTTGGTCTTCTGTGTATAAAGTTAATTGAAAATAAATCTTAATGGAGAATGGGACTGGGAATGGGAGAGGGAGGAGGAGGTGGGGTGGGAGTGTGGGTGGGAGGCCGGGTAGGGTGGGAAGAATCACTATATTCCTAAAGTTGTACTTAAGAAATTTGTACTCATTAAATAAAATAGATTTCTTTGGGAAAAAAAAGAATTTCACTGGAATATATTATCTGTCAGTTAAAAATAAAACTTTAAAAAAAAAACCAGTATACTATTGGCTTATAAACAGACATATAGACCAGTGAAACAGAATAGTGCTATGTAATAAATATACATATTTATGGCCAAATGATCACTGACAGATATGACAAGTCTACACAATGGGGAAAATATTCTCTTCACAAATGGTGTTAGGAAAACTGGATGTCTACAAGGAAAAGAATAAAATCGAACCCTTATTTTACCCTGCATACAAAATCAATTCAAAATGGATTCAAGAATTAAACATAAGACCTGAAAGCAGGAAATCCCTAGAAAAAAATATAGGAGGAAAGCTTTATGACTTTAACCTTGGCAATGATTTTTTTAGATATGATACTAACAGCATAGACAATAAAAGCAAAAATAGACAAGTGAGACTACATAAAGCTAAAAACTTCTATGTGACAAACGAATCAAGAGAGTTAGGTAGGAGAATCTATGAGTTAGGAGAAAACATTGGCAAGTCATATAGCTGATCAGAGGTTAATGTCCAGAGTATCTAAAAAAAATTCCTATAATTTAAACAAATAACTCAATGAAAAACTGGCCAAAGGACTAGAGTCACATTGTTCCTCAGAAGGCATACAAAGATGAACACTGGGGCTGATGCTGTAGTGTAGCATGTAAAGCAGCCACCTACAGTGCTGGCACCCTATATGGGCACCAGCTTGAGACCTGGCTGCTCAACTTCCGATCCAGCTCTCTGCTGTGGCCTAGGAAAGCAGTGGAAGATGGCCCAAGTCCTTGGGCCCCTGAGCTTGCATGGGAGACCCAGAAGAAGCTCCTGGCTCCTGGCTTCAGATCAGCCCAGCTCCAGCAGTTGTGGTCATTTGGGGAGTGAACCAGCAGATGGGAGACCTCTCTCTCTCTCTGCCCCTCCCTCTCTGTAACTCTGCCTTTCATATAAATAAATAAATCTTTTTAAAAAGCACATTTAAAAAAAGATGAACACTACCACTAATCCTCAGGGAAATGAGGATCAGAAACTCAATGAGATGAGATATCACCTCACACCTGTTAGGCTGTCCATCAGCCTAAGAAAATGATCCGTGCTAAAGATGATTTGGAGAAACTGGAACCTTTGTGCACTCTTGGGGGGACTATAAAATGGTTCTGCTACTACACAAAGCGTGGCATGAAGTTTCCTTTAAAAACTGAAACTAGATGTACCATATGATCCAGCAGTCCCACTGGTGTTTATCTGAAAGAACTGAAAACAGAATCTCAGAGATATTTGTGCTGCCATGCTCTCTGCACCATTATTCCCAGTAACTCAAAGGTGGAAATGAATTACATCTCCACCAATTGATCAAGAAAAAGCAGCATATCCATACAATGAAGTAATATCCGGCCTTAAGAAAGCATTCCTTCATATGCCGCAACAGGGATCCACCTGAAGCATGGTATGTTTAATGAAATCAGTCAGTCCCAGAGGCACAGGCACTGCCCGATTCCAGTTATACATGGTCTATGACGTAGTCACACTCACAGAGGCAAAGAGCAAAATGACAGCTGTCAGGGACTGGGGTAGAAAGAAAGAAGGAACTGACATTCAGTGGGTACAGTTACAGTCATGCAAGATGGAAAAGTTCCAGAGACCTCCAGTACCATCACGTACCTACAGTCAACGACACTGTATTTTTTTAACTTTTATTTAGTAGATGTAAATTTCCAAAGTACAGTTGGTGGATTACAATGGCTCCCCCGCCAACTTCCCTCCCACCCGCAACCCTCCCATCTCCCGCTCCCTCTCCTATTCCATTCACATCAAGATTCATTTTCAATTATCTTTATATACAGAAGATCGATTTAGTATATTAAGTAAAGATTCCATCAGTTTGCCCCCACACAGAACACAAAGTGCCAAATACTGTTTGAGCACTAGTCATATCATTAATTCACATTGAACTACACATTAAGGATGGAGATCCTACATGGGGAGTAAGTGCACAGTGACTCCTATTGTTGACTTAACAAATTGTCACTCTTATTTAAGGCGTCAGCAATCTTCCCAGGCTCTAGTCATGAGTTGCCAAGGCCATGGAAGCCCTCTGAGCTCACCATCTTTGATATTATTTCGACAAGGCCATAGTCAAAGTGGAAGTTCTCTCCTCCCTTCAGAGAAAGGTACCTCCTTCTCTGATGGCCCATTCTTTCCACTGGGATCTCACTTGCAGAGATCTTTCATTTAGGTGGTGGTTTGTTTTTTGTTTGTTTGTTTGTTTGTTTGCCAGAGTGTCTTGGCTTTCCATGCCTAAAATACTCTCATGGGCTCTTCAGCCAGATCTGAATGCCTTAAGGGCTGATTCCGAGGCCAAAGTGCTGTTTAGGACAACTGCCATTCTATGAGTCTGCTGTGTATCTCGCTTCCCATGTTGGATCCTTCTCTCACTTTTTAATTCTATCAGTTAGTATTATCAGACACTAGTCTTGTTTATGTGATCCCTTTGACTCTTAGTCCTTTCATTATGATCAACTGTGAACAGAAATTGATCACTTGGACTAGTGAGATGGCATTGGTACATGCAACCTTGATGGGATTGTATTGGAATCCCCTGGCACATTTCTAACTCCACCACTTGGGGCAAGTCAGCTTGAGCATGTCCCAAACTGTACATCCCCTCCCTCTCTTATTCCCACTCTTATATTTAACAGAGATCACTTTTCAGTTAACTTGAAACACCTAAGAATAATTACGTGTTAATTACATAGTTCAGCCAAT